AATAGACTTAGTCCACTGGTCAATGTAAACATGATATATACAGACGAATAAAACTTGCCATAATAATAATAATTATTATTATTATTATAATAACAACTTACATAATACTGGGCTAAACAACAAGACAAAAACAACACAGCTGAGACTAGTAACTTTAACGATTATTATTATTATTATAATAGACTTAGTCCGCTGGTCAATGTAAACATGATATATACAGACGAATAAAACTTGCCATAATAATAATAATAATTATTATTATTATAATAACAACTTACATAATACTGGGCTAAACAACAAGACAAAAACAACACAGCTGAGACTAGTAACTTTAACTTGGATATCCATCCTCAGCTCTTGCAGATTCCTAAAAGAAAAGTAATAACTTACTAGAAATACATCCTTAGAAGATATAATTATGATACATCACGCAACAAAATCTAATGTTGCAAGTTGGGACTATCACGGTGATATTCTGCACGCTGATTGGCTACAAGCTACATAATTCAAGATGGCAGCCGCTTCTGCACATAAAATGTTGCATGACAAGTTGGACAAGTGATGAAAAACGAGCAACAAATCACAAATTTGTTGCAAAAAGTTGATCTACGTTCTACTTTTCGTAACAAGTTTTCCCAACTTGCAACGAAAGACTTTGTAACGTGACAAGTTGGATAGATAGGGTGTAAAACCAGCAACATTGTTTTCGAACTTGCACCGCAACAATGTTGTGCAACAAGTTGGACATTTTTGTGTCTCATGTTTCAGCGCCTTTATTTATTGGCAGTCCGATTTCCAGTATTTTGAGTGGCACTTGCAAATTCATGGCTGCCATATTGGTTGATATACTAAGCATTTCTCATTACATAAGCTTCTTTTGTTAGATCAACCAAGATGGTGCACGCACCGCTATTTCATTCGTTGTTATTTATATCTCAAGGGGTTTTTGATCAAGTGGTTACACTCCATCTGTATATCATGCAGTACGCATCTGTCTTATATTTATTCCCTGTCTCAACTTTTCTAATTGAATCCAACGCTCTACTAACTATATTATATACTACCTGCTTTTGTCAATACTGCCACATACAATATATATATCTAGCTGACATATATTTATATACGATAAAAATTAAAATTTCATAACACAACAAGATTGAAGAGAATCAAAAGCTCTTGACCATGAAATGGTAATTTATCATCTATGCGTTTCAGAGAACAGAATATTCATCTTACATAATGTTCAAGGTGATGTAATAGAAAATATACACGCCAGACATGCAAATAGAAAGAGAAAATTATTAATATTCTTAGTGTTATGATGGATCGCACGTCAAGTACCATCAGTAAAAATCATATCAATAAATTATCATTTGTCTTAAAACATATTTTCTAACCATAATCAACTCCGCAAATTGAAAATACGATTTTATGCGTCGACGAAACTAAAAATAAGTACATTTAAAATGAAAACCAGGTGTCGAGTGTTTGTCAAAATTAAAACAGGATGGTAATTTATATATCCGCTCGATCTCCAGCCTTCGAATGTTTTGACTCGATCTGCAATATATATTTCTGATAAAGACTCATTTTAAACCACATTTAACTTCATCACACTTGGACCTGGTAAAAAGGTCAGTAATCCTTTTGATTTGAAGTGCACACACAACTATATAAGAAGTGGTTTTTGTGGTCAACAGGAACATACAATTTAATTCAAGTATATATAAAATAATGACTTGGTAGATGAACAAGCTTTATGACTGCAAATAAATACCATTTATAAATCTCTCACTTTCTATCCGCCTAAAAAATTCACTAACTCAAGCAGACGACAAGTCAAAATTTGTAAGACAAAAGCAACACAAACTGAAACTCAATATTAAACCTTACCTCGAATCGAGAGTTCCCTCAGAGTTTTTAGACGCCAGTAATAAATATAGCGAACGAGGAGTTGTTTGCAGAAATAAATATAAGACTTTGGATTGTGTGGTTTTTAAAGTTTCGTGAAGATAAATGAGATCTTAGAGGCTCAAAACAGGAGATATCTGCGCTGGCTCGAGTGAGACAGGACAACACAAAAGAAAATTAATCCACATGACCTACGGGTCAGTGTTTGAAATGCAAATAAAGATGCTTGGAGAGGTCGTGTTACTGTTATGCTAATGAGATGTCGATATTGCTTAGCCATTTGCAAAAATTATTATGGCCGTTTCAAATATAAATACAAGTATATCGAAAGTATATCAGACAGGGCGGGATATCTTTCTTGATATTTTTTTCAGAAAGCCCTAGTGATAGACAACTCGAAAAAAATATCAGGGATGATATCCCATAATTTTTGATATAGTATGGAAGCGGTCATAATTTTTGCAAATGGCTGTATATGCATGTATATTATTATTTTCGTACCCAGAGCCTGCGTTTCTTCTGGCCTGTGGCGAATAACGAGGGCTCTGGCATAATCCTCTTTTTGAGACCAGGATTTCTTGGACTTCCGGTAAAAGAGCGCATGCGTTCAAAGACTTGCCAAAAATTTAAAAAAAATATGTTCCTTGATTTCTAATGTTTATTTTGATCATAAGTAAACATAGAACTCAGTTTGAAAGCATGACTTTCATTTGATTATATTTTACTTCCGGAAAATTGCGCATGCGCCCAAAAAATAGATTATGCCAGAGCCCCTCCAGAGCCCTCGTTCTTCACTAGCCTGCAGGCCATGCCAAGGGAGCACGGCAAATGCGCGCACGTGTGCGGTTTTGAAAAGGTGGGTTTCCTGTGGTAAAATAATTTGATGACAAATGCGGTTTTTCGAAAAAATATAGTGCGGGCTCAATCCAATATGGCGCTACACATAAGTATAAAGCCCAACCAAGCGCGACAACTGCTATAACAGTCTTCCTGTGTAAAATTACGCCATCACCACAGGAAACCCAACTTTCCAAAACCGCGCGCGTGCGCGCATTTGTCGTGCTCCCTTGGCCATGGCAGAAGAAACACAGGCTTTGGGTACGAGATTAATTACGTGTATATATTAACCTCCTGCGCATGCGCAGCCGCTGTGAGGCGCTTCAACCGGAAGCGGCTAACAGCGGCTGCGCGGAGGCTAGCCGTTCATCGATTTCGCTCATTAGGTAGAGAGGATGGGGGCCAAGGGAAGACGTCAATAGAAAATCCTATGCGCACGCTGAAGTATCGGCTACGGGTTATAAAACCAAAACTGATACATGGTTTGAAACGGTCAGTGTCTTTTATATCAAGTGCGCATGCGCGGTCGTGCGCGGGATGTTTTAACTAAAACGGAAAGATTAGCCAATGAACATGTGCGTACTATACATGCAAAATATCTGTAAAACTGTTCAATGTGACGTCACGTAAGGTAACGCTTAGCAGGCCAATGAACATGTGCGTACTATATACATGCAAAATATCTATAGACTGCTGTTCAATGCGGTAACGTCATCTATTATGTAACTCTAGCTTGGCTAGTCAATGAAATAGACGTACTATCTATAGAATATCATTAGAAAACTGTTAGCCAATTTGCATGCGCAATCCATAAAACATTTATGGAGTTCTCCAATGTGACGTCACCTATAGAGAAGTTTTAATAACTAGCCAATGAACAAGAGCGTTCAAAGTTATCTATAAAACAGCCGTGGAACTATTCAGTTTGACATTACCTAGAGAAATGTGCTTTTTTAAAGCTTAATTACTTATATGACATTACCTATGTCATGCTTTCAGTTCGCGGTGGTGATCAGCGATGACAGTTTTGATAGAAAGCTGTATGTCCTTAAAAAGGCCGAATTAAATGGTGGGAGAAAACTTTTTTCTAGTTTCCTTTTTTTTTTTTTTTTTTTGTTGGTTTTAATTTCAGCCATAATTAAACTCTTAAAAAGTGCTTATTCAAAGCTAATTTTTCAGCGTTGGTTTTGAATATTTATGTAGTTATTTTTACGCCGTCGTTACTAGCTGCTGTTCGAGAATGGTTGATTGACACTTGTCAATTATGCTTTTAGTCCACGAACTAATTATAGACTACGCATTCGCAACACTGGTTAAGAGTGGAGCCTGGTCGTCGTGATCTAGCGCCAGAAGTGAATCATCATGGACATCGTCATTATTGTCGTCTGGAATCATATTTTGGACACGATAGCGCACTGATGATGCTCTTGCTACTTTTCTCTTTCTGCAATCAAGACCATATCACAAATAAGCTGCGCGCAGGAACAAAATGGTTATCGTATGAGTGCGAAACATACGTTACAGCACGTACACGGTACTACATGCCGTAACACTGAAATGGCTTCCCATAAGAATGGTTATCGTATGAGTGCGAAACATACGTTACAGCACGCACACGGTACTA